GTTAACATTGGCAAGTGTAAACAACAAGTGACATAACTTTTGCTTCATATGATTACAATAAAGTTTTGAAAATTTGATGAGTATGGATTGAATTGACACGTAACAGCTTACTAAATAGCCAGCTGTATAGACACTTTGAATATTGCTTGCATGAAATTTTTATTTCCCGACTGCATAATTATCTGTTACAATCATAATCACATTATAAAGTTAGTTAAATTTTCTCTGTGCGGGCGTGGGGGGGGGGGGAGCACTTTCCCTGCCACCCTCCCGGCTGTGTACAGCCCTCTTTTAAATCTTATCTGATGAAATATTTCAATTGTCCCATGTCACCTTCATTATTCAGTTCTTTTCCAGAAAATACAAAATGTGAATCAAGTTTTTTCGCAGATACATGTACGCCTTGCGTACCTATTTTTTGGCGTTTGCGGAGAATCGCTACTGCGCGCTCAAAATCAGTCAGCACATGCAAAATATGGTAAAGTTATAAAATTAACAAACAATAAAATAATGTAAGAATTATTCAGGAAAATCTTAAATCGCAGTACCATTACGCTTTCAAGTTGTGCTCCTGCTGGTTTTAAGTTATATTTATGAAAATATGATTTTTAAACAGTAAAATAGTTGTTCGATACTCATCATTGCTCATCAGCAAAACATTTTATTCATCAGTTACACGCCTTTTTAGCAAGTTTAAATTTTAAGCAACTAACTATTAATGAAAATTCATGGTGCCCGCGATCAGCCGGCGCATAAGTTGACCTCACTTGGCGCACGGTAACACTACCTCAGATTATCTTCGGCGTGAGGTTTACACGGAATGCACCCTGGCATAAATATAATGACCTTCGAAGTTAAGGTCCCTGTAACTAAGACTTCGACACAAAAGAAAATGCTACGATACGGACGAGATAAAAATCGGCCTTTACTTGTTTTTTTACTTTGTTAGATCCATCGATACGTATGTTCAAGAATTACTTTCAAGTTGTGCTCCTGCTGGTTTTAAGTTATAT